AAAATAAGACAAATAACGTAAGCATAGTGAATAATGGAAAAAGGCTGCCCTGGCTCTGGTCCTATTCCTATTGGGATCTTTATTAGCCACATCATAGAGTAATCAGGCTGGAATTTTTCATCTAAAAAAATTAGATGTCAGATTGACCCCTTGAAGTATGGATGCATATATTGAGCCATACCCTGAAAGTAACTTACATTTGAAACATTAATATCAGCACAGGCGTATAATTCATAAATTGGTATAGGGGCATATACTGGGAGGATGTGCATTAACAGGTCTTCCTGTTAAGGGAATGCCATCCGAAGAGCTTAGTAATCACTTCTTTTGAGGTAAATTAAAGGGAAAATTGATTCTTGAAAGAGCCTTCAAGTTTAGAGTATGATTTAGAAAGGAGGCACCTGAAAGAAAGTAAGGCCCCTCCTACCCCCAAGACCTGGTGAAAAGTATCAATCCCAAAGCTTGGAAGTTGTTTAGGAAGATACAAGGAACAAACAAAAAGTATAGTTGGGGAAGCTGAGGATGGTGATTTTGATCATGTGCATCAAAACCAGCTTTTGAGGCCCTTTCATGGTGTGAGGAAGGAGCGCCTGGGGACTTTGCCCTGCCCGAGGGGGATGTTTGGCATCCCTGTTTGCAGGGTATCATTCAGCATGCCTCCTGCTTCCCAAACACTTTCACCTCCAGTACTTAGCAGTAGCTAGCTAATGGGAAGGGGATAGAGTTCTGTCCCTAATTCTTTTTGCTGTGCCTTAATGCCCTTAAAAACAAGCAGCAGCTCTTTTCTTTCCACATGCAGGAAGATGTAGTCAGGATGGAGCCAGGTGAAAGCAAACTTGAAGATGGAACTGGGAAGCCCAAAGGTCTCTTTGGTTACCCTTAGCTTGAAAGAGTAGACTGTGTTCCAATCCTAACTACTGTTAAGTAACCTCAAGATGAGCAGCAGAATGGGGAGGGTCAGCAAAGAAAGAAGGAAGTTACTATGGACTATAATGGTGGGGACTGTGGGTCATTTGGTGGTGGGTGCACTAGAGTGGCAATACCTGCTGGGGTACCCTATTATTACCTCCATTAAATTGATTAAAAAATAAATAAAATAAAACCCAATGTCTTCATGACATTGCCCTCCCTCTCACTCTCCCAGTGGAACTCATCATTATAAAGTAATGGTGAAGGACCTCCTCAGTGGTGCAGGTGGTTGAGCGCTGGCTGTGAAGCTGTCCGCAGCCTCTGCAGCACCGATTCGATCCCCGGCCGCCACCAGCAAGGGTCCCACATGGCACGCAGACCTCTCCTGCCACTCCCACTGCTCCCCTCAGCAGTGTACTTGTCAGTCTGCCTGTTCTGTTCCCCACTCTGGCTCGGATGAATTCTCTTACCTCCCGCACTTCTGACTGTACCCAGTGCTTATGTAAATCAATCAATCAATCAAAAAAAAATTTAAAAAATAAAGTAATGGTGAAGAAGCCTAGTTTCTGAGGGCACGTCATTTGGCGTGATTATGAACTCAGGTTTCTGGTAGTGGTGTCAGCCATTCAATCAATTTTGGGGGGAATGAAGGGTATGGACAGGAAAGAAAGAACCATGTCGTTTCCAGCCAGTCACTTAACCTTTCTGATACTTGGGTTTCTTATCTATCAAATATGGATACTAAGCTCTCTCTCCTAGAGCTCTGGCGTAGTTGCACGAGAGGAAATACATAAAACACTGCTCAGGACCGGGCCATACAAAGACTGTGATAATATTAGCCACTGATGTTGCTTTTATTATTGTACTTGTTAAGGTCTGAAATTGTTTAACATTTTCCTTCACCACGATCAAATTTCATTGACAGTTTGAAAAAAATTTGAAGTACTTTAAAAAATAGGACATGATCAGATATCTAAATCCAAAGCCCATCCTTCATGATTATACTTGGAGATTTACTTTTATCCTCTCTGGCCAAGAAGGTCATTAAAAGTACAAACAAATTTATGGTAGGTCACTCGCTTTTCTTAACTTTTCAGCAAAATAGCCAGACTTTCTCTAATCTAATTCAATGTATCAAAATGAATGGCAAAGACTATTAATTGTGGTTCTGTCTGACCTGATAGTTTCCTTCTAAAGCAACAATTGAATACATATTCAACTTCTCTTCATCTGTGACCTCCTCCCCTTGGCCCTCAGAGCTGAAAATAACCTGATCATTTTTAATCAGTTTAATTAAACATTAGGCAGCTTGCTGATTTGCTTTTAATCACATTCTGCAGATTTCTGGGCATTAATCTGGCGTTTATTATGAAAATTGCACATTTGTATTCTGGGGATTTTTTTAATAAAGAAAAACAATAATATAAAATAATCAAGGCAGAAATCATGCATTAGGAGTATCTAGAAGTATTGCAGGTGTGTGCTCATCCACAGCCCTGTGAATTCCATTACCTGTTTTTAAGTTGGATTTTTGCAATATTCCAATTAGAGGCTCACATGAGGCCTTACTTTCTTTAGCTGAGTGTAAAGTTGTATTCACTTGTGGATTAATTTCTCTCCTCCTTCTGCTGTCCTCACTAGGTAGTATCCACTCTTCTCTGACAAGCAGAGGTTAATTGTAGTCATTTTAGGGCTGTTATAATTCTCATTTTAGGACTGATCTTGAGGGCAGCCACCTATGACCAAAGGAAATCAGAGGATATTGGTCAGCCACTGATTTTTCTAAAAGTCTTGTGATCATATGAAAGGGGGTAGAATTGAAAAGCAGAGGAAAGACTAAAAAAAAAAAAATTCTCTCTATTGAACATCTTTTGATTTGAGCAGTTTGCAGCCATTCTCTGACAAATGTAACATGACCTTAGCTTCAATTCCATATAACTTTTTGGAGATCCCTTCAGCTTAATGGTACCTAGTAGCAGTGCCTCTTCATACCCCTCCCCATCCCTGCATCCAAGAAGAGGAAGGAGAGGTGCCCTCATGATCCCAGAAGAGCCCCTAGCATCTCTGTCTCAACAGTCTTCCTAGAACAGGTATCTTTTCTCTCCTGCTCTTACCTATTTACTCTCCTTTGTTTTTCCCCCAGGTTGAATATTGATCAAGTGTGACATGTCAGCTCTGCAGAAGATCCTGTATCGCCACATGCAAGCCAAAGGATCCTCCTCACAGATGGTTCTGAGAAAGACAAGAAGGTACATTGTGGAAGATGAGGCATCTAATGGCGCCATGCTGTCTTCTCATAGTTGTGACTTTGAAGACTTCCCAAGAAACACCCTTGCCCATGCTGATTTGTTCAGGCAAATAATTGGCCCTTTTCTGTAACTATTGGAGCTGCCAAAGCAAGTCTCTTAACTTGAAACTACATCGGGGCAGGAAGAAAGGAGGAGTATGTTATATCTCCAAAATAGTTCTGTTCATGTCAATTCTGCAGAAAATATATCCACCTAAATGAGGAATCACATTTTAGAAGCCTTTAAATTGAGTTCCACTCCATGGGCTTCTGTTTCATGCTTCTTTCTTCCAGAAAAAGAAAACCATGAACTTTCCCAAAATTCCGCCTGTAGGATAAATTAGTCACAAGAAAGTGTTATATCTAACTTGGGAAACTACTATGATATGATATGTGATATGTTAGCTTTAACCACAAGGTTTGTAGGTTACTGAGAAGACCTACAGCCCTTTGCCTTTAAAAAATGGAAATACCTAACAAACAATTATGAACCAGAGACACACTATGGGGAGGGCGGGGAAAGGAGAGATTGGGGTCAAAATAAGGGGGGTGCAATTGTATGGGGAATATAAAAATTAAAAAAAAGAAAAAAAGAAAAGAAATGCTAAATAAAAATAAAATAAAAATTGGAAATACCTGATAAATTAATCACGTGTTCTACTTTGACTCTCTTCCCTTGTTTCTTAGGAAAAGGAGGTGCAAAGACACTTATGAACACTATCATGCAGTTGAGAAAAATCTGCAATCACCCATACATGTTTCAGCATATCGAGGTAAGTCTTTATCTCTGTTTTGATCCTGATTGCACTAATTCCTGCTAAAACTATTTTAAAAAAAGAGAGGTGGGTGTAATACGTGTATGGAAGATGAAGCAACATGGTTCATTGAGTCAAAGCTCAATGAACAGAATTAATAAACATGAATTTTCTAGTTATGGATTCTTATTGGCACCAAGCACTTGAGCATCTGGAATTTTATAACCAAGAGTTTAAAGTAGGAGGGGGCGGAGCAACATGGCGGCGAGGAGACGCTGCGAGTAAGATCTCCCATTAAAAAAAGTTAATAGGAGGAAAAGCGGCAGTCCCAGTGAAAGTGGGACACGGAAGATAAACGGGTGACGCCAGCGAACTGCCCGAAGAAGAAAGTGGCCATAAAAGAGGACTAGAAGGGAGGGAAGCGCAGAACCCTGCTCCCCTCCCCCGCCCACAGAGGCAGCACTCTCCGACCGGCAGAGGAGGAAACAACACACCAAAACGGCCCACAAGAACAAAGACGCAGCAAGTGGGACTGTGAGTGGAAAGGAACTATTGCAGCCACCACACCCCGGGAACGGGAGCTGAGGCGAACCCTGCAGGATCCGCCGCGCGGTGAGCGAACGGCTCCTGGCGCCATTAGAGAAGAACAAAGACCCCGGGAGACCCGCACACAGCCGGGCTGCCGGTAAGCTGGCGCGCGGAAACGCGGCGCGCTAGGGGAGCTTGAAAAGCAAGTGCAGACCGGGATCGCAGCTGCCCAGGTCCCCGCGCCTTCAACCTAGGCTTGCGGGGAGACGCACGGAGGTCCTCACTGAGGTGAAGGTCCCTCCCTGAGTGAGCAGGAACCAGGCGCCCAGGCACGGGAGCTGTGCAAAAGGCGCCATTCCCGCGCCACTGAACTGGGCTACAGCCCGCGTCCTGGAACTGAGGGCTTCGAACTGAGACCCGGGCACGAAAATTCGGGGCGTGGGTTCTCCACGACGGTGGGGCACAAGGCAGACACAGCACCCCAAAGCTGTTGAGGTGTAGCCTACCATTCCCGCTCTGTTCTCTGTCCCACGGGGTGGGGGAGGCGAAAAAACAGCCCCCAAGGACAATAGGAGAGATCTCTGGCGCCACCTAGCGACCAGGAAAAAAAATTCACTAACACCCTATAAAACAGGACATTTCTTAAGACTGCTTGAAAAGGGCAGAAGGTTTCTGGAGGACCCAGTGGCCAGCCGGGAAGTTATTCCACGCCAGGCCCCTTCCGACCAGCAGTCTGAGCCCACAGAGGGAGCAGGCACCCACGTCCGGGCAGACCGGGGTGCGCAGAAGAGTGTGCCTGAAACCGGAGGCGCAGGGACTGCATCCCGCTTTGCCATTTGAGAACAGGGACATTTCTTCAGTAAAAACTGCCTAAAACCAGCAGAAAGCTCCCCCAGAAGACAGAGATGGCTCCTGGAAGAGCCAGAGGGGAGCGGAGAAGTTCACCCAAGATGTCAGTCAGTCCGAGCAACACAGTGTCCCAACGCATACGACAAATTAGAAAACAGACAGTAGGGAGTAGAAGAACCACACGCAACCTAAAAACTCCTCAGGAAAGAAGCACACCACAAAAAGAAAACCACTCCCCAGATTGCAACGACAGCAACTTGGAAGAACTTCTGAGCCTTCCAGAAAGAGAATTTAAAATTGCCATGATTAAAAAAGATAGATCAGAAGAAGGAAATTGAGTCCCTAAAGAGGGAAGTAAGAGAAATGCAGGAGATCAAAGAATTAATGGAGGAACTAAAGAACTCTGGGAAAAGCAATGAAAGCAGAATAGATGAAATGGAAGAACGAATAAGTAATCTTGAAGACACAGAAATAAAAAGAACCAAAACAGAAAAGGAAAGAGAAGTACGAAGGAAAAAGAATGAAGAAAGACTTCGGGAACTATCTGACTCCATGAGGAAAGGAAATATAAGAGTTATAGGAATTCCAGAAGGAGAGGAGAGAGATGTAGGAACAGAGAAAATATTCATGGATATAATTGAAGAGAACTTCCCAAATGAGAAGAAGGAGCTGAAAATTGATATACAAGAAGCAAGAAGAACACCAAACTTCCACGACGAAAGGAAAAACACAGCAAGACACATAATAGTAAAGCTCCAAGAATCCAGGACAAGGAAAAAATAATGAAGCTGACAAGAGGGAAGAAACAGATAACATTCAAAGGAAAACCAATCAGGCTGACATCAGACTTCTCTGAAGAAACACTACGGGCAAGGAGAGAGTGGAGGGACATAGTCAACAGACTCCAAGAAAACAGATGCCAACCAAGAATACTCTATCCCGCAAAGCTCTCTTTCCTCCATGAAGAAAGAATATGGACCTTCCCAGACAAAGAGAAACTCCGGAATTTCATTGCGACTAAACCCCCACTCCAAAAAATACTACAAGGAATCCTAAAGCCAGAACCTCAGAGGGACGAATAACAACGAAAGAAGACCAAAAAAAAAAAAAAAAAGTTATTAAAAGAATAAATAAATAAAATCAAAGGAAAGACAAACATAATGGCAAATACAGATGCTAACATATCAATATTAACTCTAAATGTAAATGGACTAAACTCTTCAATAAAAAGACACAGAGTTGCAGCCTGGATTAAGAAACAAAACCCAACCTTTTGCTGTCTCCAGGAAACACATTTAGCTACAAAAGATAAAAATAGGCTCAAAGTCAAAGGATGGAAAACAATCCTACAAGCAAATGGGCCAAAAAAGAAAGCAGGAACAGCTATACTTATATCAGATAAAACAGACTTCAAACTCAAAAAAATAAAAAGAGACCCCAATGGTCACTACATTATGATTAAGGGGACAATACTTCAAGAAGAAATAACACTCATTAACATATACTCACCAAACGAAAGAGCACCAAAATATATCAGACAACTGTTGTCCTCTCTGAAAACAGACATCAGAGAAAACACATATGTAGTGGGAGACTTCAACACACCACTATCAACAATGGATAGATCAACAAGACAAAAAATAAGTAAAGAAACTAAAGCTCTAAATAAGGACCTAGAGCATTTGGGCTTAACAGACATCTATAGAACACTAAACCCAAAAAAAACGGAGTACACATTTTTCTCAAGCGCACACGGATCATTCTCCAGGATCGATCACATACTGGGGCACAAGACAAACATCAACAGATACACCAAGATTGAAATCATACAACCATCTTTTCGACACGAAGGCATCAAACTAGAAATAAATCATAAAAAGAAGGCAAAGGAACTATCCTACCTCATGGAGATTAAAAGCCACACTACTGGAAGACCACTGGACTAACGAGGAGATCAAAGAAGAAATTAAAAAATTCTTTGAATTGAATGACAAGGAGGACACCAATATCCTAAATGTATGGGATGCAGCAAAAGCAGTAATAAGAGGAAAATATATAGCAATAGAAGCTCACATCAAAAAACAAGAAAGAACTCAAAGAAACAACCTAATCTCGAAGCTCAAAGATCTAGAAAAAGAACAACAAAAAAACCCAGAACCAGTAGAAGAAAAGAAATAATAAAAACCAAAGCAGAAATAAATGAAATTGAAACTAAAAAAACAATCCAAAAGATCAATGAAACCAAGAGCTGGTTCTTTGAAAAAATAAATAAAATAGACAAACCCCTAGCCAGGCTCACAAAGGAAAAAAGGGAGAAAGCACAAATACACAGAATCATAAATGAAAGAGGAGAAATCACAACGGACACAGCAGAAATCAAAAGAATAATCAGTAACTACTATGAACAGTTATATGGAAACAAGTTCAACAATCTAGAGGAGATGGACAAATTCCTACAACTCTACAATCACCCAAAGCTAGATAAAGAAGAAATAGAACACCTAAACAGACCAATTACAAGCAGCGAAATTGAAATGGTAATTAAAAACCTCCCCAAAAACAAAAGCCCAGGACCTGATGGATTTACAAATGAATTCTACCAAACATTCAGAGACGAATTAGTGCCTATCCTTCACAAACTCTTCCAAAAAATTGAGAAGGAAGGACAATACCAAAACACGTTCTATGAAGCCAATATTACACTAATACCAAAACCGAATAAGGACAACACAAAAAAGGAAAACTATAGGCCAATCTCCCTAATGAACACTGATGCAAAAATCCTCAATAAAATTTTAGCTATCAGAATCCAACAATGTATCCATAAGATAATTCACCACGACCAAGTTGGATTCATTCCAGGGGCACAAGGATGGTTTAACATCCGAAAATCAATCAACGTTATCCAACACATCAACAAAAAGAAATATAAAAACCATATGATAATATCAATAGATGCTGAGAAAGCTTTCGACAAAGTGCAACACCCATTCATGATTAAAAAGCCCTTGAAATTCTTGGGATACAAGGAACATACCTCAACATCATAAAGGCCATCTATGACAAGCCAACAGCCAGTATCATTCTCAATGGTGAAAAGCTGAAAGCAATTCCATTAAGATCTGGAACAAGACAAGGATGTCCACTCTCACCACTGCTTTTCAATATAATACTGGAAGTCCTAGCCAGAGCAATAAGACAAGAGAAAGACATCCAAGGAATCCAAATAGGAAAAGAAGAAGTCAAACTATCACTATTTGCAGATGATATGATAATATACATAGAGAACCCCAAAATCTCCACAGAAAAACTAATTCAACTCATCAATCAATTCAGTAAAGTGGCAGGATACAAAATCAACACGCAAAAGTCAGTAGCCTTCCTATACACAAACAATAAATCTGAAGAAGAAGAAATCAAAAAAACCACCCCTTTTATTATCGAAACAAAAAAAATCAAATATTTGGGAATAAATCTAACAAAAGAGGTAAAGGACCTATACAAAGAAAACTATAAAACACTGTTAAAAGAAATAGAAGAAGACACAAAGAAATGGAAAGACATCCCCTGCTCATGGATTGGAAGAATAAACATTATTAAAATGGCCATCCTACCAAAAGCAATATACAGATTCAATGCTATTCCAATCAAAATCTCAATGGCATTCTTCAAGAAATAGAACAATTATTGATGAAATTCATATGGAATCACCAAAAACCCCGAATAGCCAAAGCTCTACTGAAAAAAAAAGAAGGAAATGGAGGCATCACACTCCCAGACTTCAAACTATACTACAAAGCCATAATCATCAAAACTGCATGGTATTGGAACAAGAACAGACATACAGACCAATGGAATCGAATAGAAAATCCAGAAATAAACCACAGATTTATGGTCAACTAATCTTTGACAAAGGAGCAAAGACTATGCATTGGAGCAAAGAAAGTTTGTTCAATAAATGGTGCTGGAAAACTGGGTCGCTACATGCAAAAGAATGAAGCTTGACCACTACCTCACACCATACACAAAAATCAACTCAAAATGGATTAAAGAACTAGACATAAGACCTGAAACCATAAAATACATAGAAGGAAATATAGGCGAAACACTACGGGATTTGCACATCAAAGACATCTTTACAGACACATCACCCAAAGCAGTGATAGTGAAGAGAAAGATAAACAGCTGGGACTACATCAAATTAAAGAGCTTCTGCACAGCAAAAGAGACAATAACAAAAACAAAGAGAAACCCCACCAACTGGGAGAACATTTTTGCACCCAACACTAATGATAAAGGACTGATCACAAAAATCTGCAAAGAGCTGATGAGACTCAGCAACAACAAAGAAAATAATCCAGTCAAAAAATGGGCAGAAGAGCTAAAAAGAAACTTCTCTGAAGAGGAAATGCAAATGGCCAACAGACATATGAAAAAATGTTCAACATCACTTGTCATCAGGGAAATGCAAATCAAACTACCATGAGATACCATCTCACACCAGTGAGAATGGCACATATTAAAAAACTAGCAACAACAAATGTTGGCGAGGATGTGGAGAAAAAGGAACTCTTGTGCACTGTTGGTGGGAGTGCAAACTGGTCCAACCACTATGGAGAGCTGTGTGGAGATTTCTGGACCTACTAAACATAGAGCTTCCATATGATCCAGCAATCCACTCCTAGGTATTTACCCAAAGGACACAGAAACATCAATTCCAAAGAGCACCTGCACTCCTATGTTTATAGCAGCACTGTTTACAATAGCTAAGCTTTGGAAACAACCCAAATGCCCAAAAATAGATGACTGGATCAAGAAGATGTGGTACATATATACCATGGAATATTACTCAGCATTCAAAAAAGATAAACACATGCAATTTGCAGCAACATGGATGGCACTGGAAGGGATCATGCTCAGCGAAATAAGCCAAAAAGAAAAAGATAAATACCGATGGTCTCACTCATAGCAGGAATCTAGAAAACTTAAATAAGGACCAGGAAAATGAATATAAGAAAGTGAAAATCAAAATCAACAAAAAACTATGAACCAGAGACACTTTTTGGGGGTGGGGGCGGGAGGGGAGGATTGGGGTCAGAATGGGGCGTTTGCAATTGTATGGGGGAATATAAAAATAAAATTTAATATTTAAAAAAAAAAAAAAAAAAAAAAAAAAAAAAAGAGTTTAAAGTAGTGAGAAAATGTGGTAAGCTATGGCTCATTATGTGGGTTTGGGTAAGTACTGTGAATTGCCTTGTTATGGTAGAAGCTTGGAAATTGAAGGAAATGATAAATACATTCCGCTCCCTCAGAAAATGCTGTGAAAAATATTAAAATAATGTATTTCTACCTATTGAAGAGAAAGATGTTTTGAAATATTTTCTTTGTAAAAGACACTGACTTTCATCCATCACATAGATTTGTATTTTTCCTCTCTGGTTTCTATCACGATAATGTAAATCCTGGCTTTTATCTTGACACTCTAGTCTCCAGAAAGCTATTTTTAGGCGAGAGGACATTTTCTGCCCTATTCACTACATTGAATAAGTTTCCTAAATTGACGGAGTCTCACCCCAGTAGGAGCAATTGACTTGAGCAGAAAGGAAAAAGCCACAATTGTAATCTCCATTTTTCAATGGTGCTGCTGGTGCATAGGGTCCTAGCGGCAATTACCTGCCGGCGTATTTCCTGCTTTCCACGGCAAATGAGCAGGAGGTGAGGGGCAAGACACTGCATGGCTCCAGGGCTGCGCCAGGTTATTTCTCTGCACCAGCTTGTGAGAAATTAAAACTTAATAACCACAGCAGAAAAGTTGAGTCAAAATATTCCTGACTTGGACAATTCCTTTCCTCCTCGTTTTTGGTAATTGGGCTTATTAGGGAAGTGTTTATTGCATCCCATTTCCTATCCTGGAGTCCTGTCCAAATGAGGTGGCAGATTAGGAAGACTCCTCACACCACTACTAACTTCAAGTCCATAGGGCAGAGTTATCTATCAACTAGGAAGCCCCAGATCTAAGCAAAAATAACAGCAGCAGCAGCAGCAGCAGCAGCACTAAAAGACAATCCCACCAACCAGCCACAGCCGTTTAGACACACAGTGGAAGGGGTGTCCAAAGTGCAAAGGTGAGTCCATACCCCAGGCTACATTTTAACTGCGGCCTGATGTAAGTCACTCAGCATCTCCAAGCTCTCGTGCATTTGACTGGGCCTCAGAGGGTAATAGATTATAGGAGTGGCAGGAGGATAAACCTTTTTAAGAAATAATATGTTCGGCACTGGATAACATGTTAAACAGAGGTAAAGTATCAGTGAATTAGCGGCTGTATGGGGAGTTGGGGGAGAGCCAAAAAATTCTAATGGTCAAAGTGACTGAGGTCACGTCAGGCTAACCTGACATCCACCATTCTATTTTTCCTGAAAACAATTTTATGGTTATTTACTCTGCTATACTGAAGGGTTTGAGGACTTAGAAATTATGAAAATGAAGTGTCAGTCTTACTTCATTTTGGTTATCATGCAAAAATTCACCTTTGAATCATGCTAGGCCGTGTTTGGAAGGATACAGTCGACTTGAGAAGGATGGAGGGCAAGGGGAATTGTAGAAGAAGTAAGGTTTAAGGAACACACCCTCCACTGCCTGCATATTTACATGTTACATAGCAGTCAATATAAAGACAGGCATTGATTTGCAAATTTTTTTAACATAAAAGGCTTACAGGGGCATATCCCTAGAAATGAGGCCCACCATTACCCACAAATGAATTCAAGTTTTGGTGGTATGGGCATTTTGCCTTTGTCTTTGTTCTATTTGCTACACAAGCTTTCTTCATCGTAAACCATACCAGAAACCCAATCTCTCATTTGGGCTCACTGTCCCCAGGGGACCTTCAAACCAGACAGGTGAAAACAGGATTTTTAAAATGACGATACCTAATCTTGTCATTACCTATTGATGTCTACCATCTCCTTGGTTTGAACAGCCCTGTTTGGTGACCAGGATGGAGCTCTAATAACTAATCTCGTAAGGAGTGGCCACCTTTGGAGAGAAAAACCCTGGTTCCAGGAGTGGAGTGGGGATTTCGGTCATTTCCAGAGCATTAATTTGGCAGGCAGAGCAGCATTCTGAGGGAGTAGGCCTGCTGGATAGGAGGAGTGTATCTGAAAGGAGAGTCCAAAGGGGAAGATCTGTCCCCTCAAAGGAAAGCTTGGGTGGCAGGGGGAGGAAGGGAAGCAGGAAAGGGAGACAGCTGGTAGCTGTGAGGGTGTGTCTCTCTCTCCTTCCCTCAGATGCCTGCCTTCCCGTAAAGTGGGAATGGGGACATTGCATAGAGAATGGTCACATAGTTCTCCCTCAGAATCATTGAGGAGGGCGTACTGGGGTGACGTTCTATATTTTAAAAATGGAAGTTGGACACCTGAGGCATCATTTACAATAGGGATAGCACAGTGTGGAAAGAACGTTAGGTTTTCACTGCACTAAGAACTGTAGTGTAGTGTACATTTACCATTTCTTTTACTGTGAAAATAGCCCTACAGTATGTATATGTGTACCGATTAATCTCAGTTTGCTTCTATTAAGCTCTCATATTAAGCTCCTCTCAATCTAAGACTCTGAACTCCTCGTGGGTAGATACTTGGGGCATTTTGGGTGACCAGAACCTGTGAGGTCATTTGGGCCAGTAGACACTCAAGACATTGTTTGAGGAGTCAGCTAACCCTATGGTCTCAGAATGAGAATCCAGAGACTTGCAGAAACTTATAGGCTTCACTTCTGGCAGAACCTAAGTCTGAATTCAGACACTTCTAATTCGTCCTCTAGCAAGTATTTCCTTCCTGTGATTTTGTTCAACAATGCTTTAGAAATAGATAGAATGACCTTGCTAAAAGAGTCATCATTAAGGGGCCTCCCCAGTGGCGCAGCGGGTTGAGCACAGCACTGTGAAGCTGTCCACAGCCTCTGCAGCGCTGGTTCGATTCCCAGCTGGCCAGGGAGACAGACCTCTCCAGTCTCGCCCCGCTGCTCCCCTCATCAATGTACCTTTGCAGCGCCATTTCGATTCCTGGTCAGCCAGGGAGATTCCCACATGGCAAGACAGACCTCTCTTGTCTCGCCCACTGTTTCCCTCAGCAGTGTACCTCGGTCTTTCTGCTTGTTTTGCTCCCTGCTCTGTCTCTAGTGAATTCTCTCACCCTCCGGCGCCTCTGACCTATACCCCAGTGCTTGTCTAAAAAAAAAAAAAAAAAAATTTTTAAATGTCTTTAAAAAAAAAAAAAAGTCATCATTAAGTTAATAATGATATTTTCGTTTTTTAACACTATTTTCTTCTCTCTCTCTTTTAAAGGAATCCTTTGCTGAGCACCTGGGCTATTCAAATGGGGTCATCAATGGGTAAATCTTAAAATTTTTCTTCTTCCATAAAAATAGTTTGTTGGTTTCATCTACATTTTTTTTCTCCACAGTGTTTCCTACCATGCAAATACATACTCCAGCCCCCTCAGCCCTGCTCTGTCCTCAGCAAAGGGCACAGAAGTTGTTAACCAAAATGATATCAGCACTCTCTTTGACTTCACTGGCATAAATTACTACATGCCTTGAGCAAGTAGCTATTCAAAGGACATAGATCTCATTTAATAGACTTAATAGTATCTTAGTGTTCTAAAAATGTTGTTGACGCTCCAAAGGATTGTTACTTATAATCAATAGTGTAACTTGGGCTGAGAGCAAATTTATCTTATTAAATTTCAAGTTGATATTTAACATTAACGTGCATGAGAGGAAATGCCTCATCTACGATAAATGTATGACTTTACAGTAATTTGTTATCATATAGTCTATATAAAAAAGCATTTTCATTAGCAGTGGCCATTGAAAAGAATAATACCTTGCAACAACAGCAAAAAAAGAACTTTGCATTTACAGAAGGTCTGTGGTTTTTTTTTTTTTTTTTTTTTTTTTTCTTGTTTTGTACCAGGGAAAATGCATTTTTAGGACACAGAGTTTATTCTTGGATCCCAAAGGAAGGCAGACAGTGTCACTAGCCTAAGAACTATGAAATAGATCCGATCCATCCAGATGCAGTGCCACTAGGCACCCCTGCCTCTCTGTGCCCCCTTTTCCTCTGGGTCCTATGGTCACCGCTGGTGCCATCAAGCTAGCCAGTGTTGCACCATACAAGTGTTTAGCAATTTTTTTTTCTGTAAATATTGCAAATGTTTTTACTTTGCCAGTCTCTGTTGCACCTACTCAACTTTGCCACTGTAGCATGAAAGCCACCATGGGCGAAACAGAAGTGAGTGAGAATGTCTGTTCCAGCAAAATTTTATTTATAAAAACAGGTGGTGAGCCACAGCCACAGTTTGCCAAACTCTACTCTAACCTAAAGATTTCACTTGTTGCTATGAGTTCTTTCTTAGCAACTTACTATTTTTCTTTACAGTACTCATCACAATTTGTAATTACCCATTTTGAAGGGAACATTTCTATCTTGCTTTTCAATATACACAGGTCTGGCATTGTGCTTGGCACACAGTAGGTGCTTAATAAGTATTTGAATGAATTGAAAATGCCCTCAGTTTATAATTTTACTTTATTAATAAGTAAGGTTTTCAGAAATATAACATATAGTTCTGTGTATATGTTTTCAAGGAAGGGGAGAAGAGTTGAAAGAGAGTGACAGAGTAAAAGTATTAGGAGCAGAAGGATTTCTCCTTTTCTTTCTAGATTCTGTCATCTCACCTAGGATAGATAATGCACACTATAGATTTTGTATGAATATATTTCCTTTTATATTAGATGCTCTCATGGCTTTGCAGTTGATACCCATCATCCATTGTTATTTATTGAATGTCAGTGTGTACAGGGACTCTATGAGAAGCGAAGCTGTCCTGCATCCTTCAAGGAGACAGCAGTAATACTGTCTTCCTGTTTTGCGTTTCTGGGTTCAGGGCTGAACTGTATCGGGCCTCAGGAAAGTTTGAGCTACTTGATCGTATTCTGCCAAAATTGAGAGCAACTAACCACCGCGTGCTGCTTTTCTGCCAGATGACGTCCCTCATGACCATCATGGAGGATTACTTTGCTTTTCGGAACTTCCTTTACCTGCGCCTCGACGGTGAGTGCATAAAGCCTTTGGTTTGGCTGCCTTGCTGCTGAGAGCAGGGATCATGGGCACTTAGAGCCAATAAAAGGGTGGGGGGAGGTAAAATTGTTGAAGAATTAGCCAGTAGGTTGGGGTACAGCTTTTCTAGATAGTCATTTCTATATCCTCAAGCTTAAAATAAGCTGAAATCATTTGCACGGCTGTTCAACCCACATCATACCAATACGAATGGACTTAGAGTTATTTATAAGTGCTACAATTAAACACAACTGAAATTTGAAAACCCTGCTTGCTGTTCCACTTGCCTAATGCTTATGGATATAGAATATTTTGACACATCTATAGCTTTTTCTGTTATACTCCAAGGGGATAATGCTAAGATATTCTTCAGTAATACTATAATAGTTCATTTAAGATTATATTTTTATTATCATTAAGACCTCTTTCTCAGTGGGACATCTCTACATGTTACATGAAGAGATAGAGCGTCATTATTTACTGGATTTTGCAAATTATGTAAATCATTTACCTGATTTTAAGAGTGAAATTTAAATACTGTGTCCTAAAAAATGAGTAAAACATTATGACTGGAAGAAAACATGAATTTAGGATTACTTTGTAAAATACTTTAAGATTTGGATACCAACCCCAATGTCTTAGAGAATAAACATATAAACACCTTACCATGGCAGTGGATGACACTTTCTTTTTAAAAAAAAAAAAAAGATTTATTTTTATTTATACAAGAACTGGGGTACAGGCCAGAGGTGCAGGGGGTGAGAGGATTCACCAGAGACAGAGTGGGGAACAGAACAGGCAGACTGACTGAGACACACTGCTGAGGGGAGCAGCGGGTGAGGCAGGCGAGGTCTGCTGTGTCATGTGGGTTTCTCCTTGGCTGGCTGGGTTCAAACCCACACTGCAGAGGCTGCAGACAGCTTCACAGTGCAGCCCTCAACCGCCTGCACCACCAGGGAGACCCTGGAAAACACTTTCAAAGGATGATTAGTAGGAACAGCTACAGGTAGCTAATTTACAGCCAGGATGGTGTTGGATTCCTGGATACAGCATTACTAATACCAGGTTTTATCTAATGCAGTATTCAAGCTACTGTTAAATGCAAATTTTAAAGTTTATGTTCCACTAAAAGATTTTGTTTTTGCTTCATTTTTCACGCCAACATCTTTGCCCCTCATTTGCCACTCATTAGATATAATGAATAGATTCTGACTTCAGACTTGCTGTACGGGCTTTTACTTGAGTTTTCAAGTGAGTCTTCGTGTGGTCTACCTCTTAGGGTACTATTGATTTTTAAGTTAGTTATACATCTGACAGACGTGATTTTTAAAAAGAATCTCTTACCTTTCCCCTCCAAATACAGTAAAGATAAAGGAAGGGTTAAGTAAATGTTAATTTTTAATTCAAGACATGATTGTATCCCCAAAAGGCCCTTTTGGTAGTCTCCTGCCTTGTGGCTGGTCCTTGGGCCTGCTCTCGCCGTCCCTCTCTGTGAAGGGAAAAGCATGCAGCATCCCTCCGGGAATGTCATGGAAAGGCAAATCCTGCTTCACTGCTGCTCAGGAGAGGGGCAGCCCTGCTCTGCTTTCTCATGGGCTACAGCTGCTCCCCTTCCCAGAGGTGTCCTACACCACAATTGTTGACTTTGTGGCATTTCGTTTTGAATCTCACCTCTCTGAGGAATGTGTCCTTAGAATAGTCAAGTCTATGAAACTAGCAAGGTGATTTCCTTGAAACAAACCTCTCTAATGTCTTCTTGTGAGCCTGAGAGAAGTATCTCTAATTGTGTGTTGGTTGGTGTGTTATTATTAATAATAAGTCAAAAAAAGCAAATATTTATGCTACATGTGGGATACCAGGCACAGCACTTCCTGTGCATTATTAGATTTTTTTCAACAAACTATGACTTTTCTTGTATACTAAGTTATGAATGTCTCCATTTAACAGGTGAGAAAACAAAGGCTTAGAGAGATTCGTTTACTTGGCAAAGGTTACACAGGAAGTAAATGGGGAAACCAAATTCTAACTTAGACCTCTCTGGGTCCAAATTAGGTCCAATTTTAGCAGATCCAGGGAGATATATCCCATCCCTGAAAATAGAGGTTTCTTCCCTAGCAACAGCATCTTAACAATGATTTTTAACTTATTCAAAAAATTTTAACTGAAAATAACCTGGCAGCAGAGATGCAAGATGCAAGAGTGGGTTACTGTTCCGGCTACCAGTGCCCTTACCATCGGGGGGAGGTGACAGATGAGCAAGCAAGTTCCATCAGGTGTTGCAGGCAGAGTTGAGAGGGCGCTGCAGCTTGTACCCACAAGTAATTAAGAATTAGCCAGTAATTTTAGCTGCTAATTTCCAAGTATTATTTGCAAGTAATATTAGCTGCTTATTTCCAACATAGAATCAATGGGCAGATAATCACCATCCACATGGGTACGTTAGTACTCACATTTCCAGCTACGTCACCGCTCCACCCTCAGCCCAATTGTTAAAATGACTTCAGATTTTCCTTGCTGAATTGGATGTCTTAGAACTTTGACTTCAGGAAAAGGAAACATTTGTTAACAGCAAAGCATTTTTTTTCTACAAAGATTATGGCTGATAGATAGATTTAGCTACTCTTTCATATTAGTCTTTGTTTACCCTAGGGGTAATTTTTGGATGCGAGCAAGTGGTGAAGTTACATGTTATATCCGAGAAGATGAAATTTTCCAAAGCAGCTGAAACTAAGTTAAAGTTAGTCATCATGAAAATCTGGCTATGCGTTCTTTCTGGCAACTCTACAGTTGCCAGCACAATTGCCTTTGCTATTAATTGTATTCTTGGTTATGTTCTACATCAAAGTCTAAAAGAACATGGAAGCAAAGCTCATACTGAGCACGTAATTCCTTTGCCACCTGCAAGGACCTTTATTTGCCTTTGGATAAACTCTGATGTGGTAGCTTGAATCTCCTGGGCAGTATCACAAAGATTGCTGATGATCAGCAAAGATCTTGACGTGGGGAACCTTTGACTAAGGGAAACGATAATCCATCAAATTCTGAACTTTATGATAAGAAATGCCACAGCTTTACATAACAAGTGATTTAATCATCCTTCCCCCTGCCTTTATAAGTTGTCAAGTTCCTTGCTATTTATACAGTTTAAATACACACCAGGTATAGGGTGGGTCTGTTTGCTTGAGGTGTCCAGCAGAGGTGTAGAAATCTCCTTTGGCTCAATTATTTTCATACTTTTTTGTTTGTTTGTTTTTCAATGTTTGATTTTGTATTTAGGGTTATTTCATCCCAAGGAAACATATCCCCTAATTATTTTCATTTCTTAATGAATGTGATCATTCATGTCTCTTAATGCATGTGATCATTAAGTGATTATTTTTTAGTTGATCAAATTGAACTTCTAGCCTCAGAGTGTATAGACACAGTTTTTGTACTTGCTGTTAGAAAACAGATATCGTTATCTCTAGAGACCCATTCTTTTCCCATTTTAGAAGCATTTTTGCTTTCAGTGGCTTTCCTTTCCATTTAAGCCATTACTCCATGTAAGTAATTTTTAAAAAATTATTGTATCTGGAAAGATGATGCCAAGAAAAGGTTTCATGATAGAACAAACCTTTTCTTCTATTAGTATTGTGAATAAATAGTTCAACTTGATCTCAGAAAGCCAGTTCTGAAAAGAAAAAGGAAAAAAGAGCACTGCATGTTTGAAACCTCACTCAATGAAGCACATTAGTGCCCCTCCCCAAAAATCTAAATTCTAACAATTCATATTGCAGGAGCTGAGCAGGTCACTAAACCTGAAATCTAATTTAGAAAGTAAAATGAGCTCAAAAGAGCATTGTTTCATTAGATGAGGGGAGCCCTCAAGCCCTTTTTTGCTGTGTGCAGGGAATTGATTTTTTTTCCCTCCTCAGGAGGTACTTACTATTTTTGTTAAATGTGAAAAACAGATGCCCCCATGTTTGGAAACTTGACCCTAATTGTAACTTGATTCCATTACCTATAGTCACTTAAATGTTTTAATCCTCTGAAATGAATTGCTGGTATGTTTTCATCCTTGCAAAAAGAACACCATGTAGAAGCAATATTTATGTAGCAGGCAGTCAGGGACTATCAGGTAACGTGCAGATATAGTCCCCAATAGCCTAGAGCCTTTTTCAAAACTCCACAGCTACATTTTTCTGGTGAAAAATGTTGAGATGGAGTATGACGGGGTTTTTGTTCTTCCGCAATGTGGTTCGTGAAATGACTGGGTAAATGCACTACAGATACTTAGTACACGATTGAATGACTGACTCAGATTGCCAGTGTGGGTGTCCTCATGCCCCAAAAGAGAGTAGTTCAAGTGTTCAAACTCTGGGCTTTGTTCTCTGCTTATTCAGACTTATTTTGGAGTCACCCCACAGCCATGGTGCACACCATGGCCACACATGTACATGCTGCTGTGTTTGATTTTAGTGCAAGACCTTTTGAAGTCAACAAATATCAAATGAGAAACAGACTGACTGATCCCTTTTAAATATATATATGTGTCTCATGGCTTCAAGTCTTACTTGCTAGGATGAAAATCTTCCATTTAAATTTTATGTTTGTCCAACTATGACCAGAGACACACTCTGGGGGGTGGGGGGCGGGGAAAGGAGGGATTGGGGTCAAAATAAGGGGGTTGCAATTGTATGGGGAATATAAAAATAAATAAATAAATGAATGAATGAATGAATGAATGAATGAATGAAAATTTTATGTTTGTCACCAGCCAGATCATGCTCAGTAGCAATCCGAAAAGTGAAATGTAGTAGAAATTAATTTCCTTTTGTGTCCCTTGGCATAAACAAGTCCCCACTGTAATGCCTATCGGCAAATTTGCTTTAATCCATTATAATAGTCATTTTAGGCAGGTGCACACACACACACGTGTGTGTGTGTGTGTGTGTGTGTGTGTTTTAGGGGGTGGTTTGGGATGCTTTTAAAAACTAGTTTTTGTTTTAAAATGGAGAAATTGTTTCCCGTAAATTCTGGGTGAGCATTAGAATGTTGTGGAATGTGTAAACTTGCAAAGGTACCTAGTCAGAAATGTTTAAACCCTTCCAGCACTTTGGAATGATGGGCAGTAGTTCACGTGTTCTCTCTCTGAACAAAAGAAACATGAACTGATTTGAGCAAAAACTCTCTCTCTCTCTCTCTGTCTCTCTTTAATTGCAAAATGTTCAAAGTTGCTTTCAAAAGTACAGAAACCTTGGGGTATTACCTCACCAGCACAGAGAGCAGTCTGAGTATATTTCTCAAGGAAGCAAGACTTTTTGTCTAGCTCTGTGCCATTTTCAGACAGGAGTTAATTGGCAAATTTATTTTCCTTATCCCCCTAGGCACCACCAAGTCTGAAGATCGTGCTGCTTTGTTGAAGAAATTCAACGAACCTGGGTCCCAGTATTTCATTTTCTTGCTGAGCACAAGAGCTGGAGGCCTGGGCTTAAATCTTCAGGCAGCTGATACTGTGGTCATCTTTGACAGTGACTGGAATCCTCATCAGGTCTGTGTAGCTCTGACTTAGGTGCCCAGGCCAGGAAAAAAAAAAGACTCTGAGCATCATTAGTCATAGCTATGGGGCACAGCAAATTTCTAAACAAGTATTCCCGTTCTCCAAACAGGAAAAACCCAATATATAATTCTGGCTGTTTTTTAATCTCCCTTGGAGAAGAGATATTGAGTTGTCATACACATGCCTTTGATGTACTTTTGAAGGGCTCAAGTTTGGGTTACAAAAACTTAGTTTCTGCTTAGGTTATTTTTTTGCACAGAACTGGGGTGTAGGCCAGAGGTGTGTGTGGAGGGGGGAAGGATTCACCAGAGATCGAGTGGGGAGCAGAACAGGCAGTTCTACTAAGATACGCTGCTGAGGGAAGCAGCGGGTGAGACAGGAGAGGTCTGCTGCATCATGTGGGTCAGCTCCCTGGCTGGGATGAAACTCAGGCTGTAGCAGTGATAGACTTAACTCCTAGGCCACCAGGGAGGCCCCTCTGCTTAGTTTTCATCCCATCTCCTGGAACTGCCACTGAGCTAAGTACTTTTGGTGAAAGAAAATCCAAAACATTTCAAAACACAAACAACAACTTACACTTGCGGGTCTTTTATCCTGTGCCAGTCACTTTATGTTCATTGTTTCATTCATTTGGAGACAACCATCCTGTGAGGCCACGACCATGACTGTTTGCATCATAACAGTCAAGGGAAAAAGAGTCCCAGAAAGCTTGAAGTAACCTCCCTAAGGTCAAATAGTTAGTATATGATAATTTGTCTTTTATTCTGTGTGTTTTGTTTGAAATCACTATCAAAAAGCATTCTATGGAGCATCAGCCAGTAAGTTCTTTTAGCCGGGTAAGGTTAGAAGTTAACCTTTTAAAGATACAATTTGATGATATCAAAAAGAAAAAACCTCTGGAATGGACCACCCATGGCCCTGGTTTCCTAAATTACTCTGGGAAGTGATGTGCTTTCTTATAAAGTAGTTGCAGAATGATGTTCAGGAGGATTTGAATCCCATTGGAACAAATGGAAATTCAAAATAGTAAGTAAAAAAGGAAGACGGCAACTTTCACATATGGGTATGAATTATGTCAGCTTATCTTGGACCCCCTGCTGTGCCTTGGGCTCTTCAACCATAAGTCCACAGAGTAGCACTCTCTGTTGTGGTCATGTGGCGGGTTGTGGTGAAGATGAAGTGGAAGAGGCTTACGAGCAGTTGCTTTTGACAGCAAGTGATCTTCAGGAGTAATTAGAATTACGAGGGAGCTTTCTAGTAAATATACCTGCCTGCTTTCCATCCCCTACCAAGCCCACCCCCAGTTTTCTAGGGACGTCCCACCCACATAGACTAGATAGACTTCTCTATATATTCAGAAGTGCCCAGGAGAGCGTGGCATTGGTTCTCACACAGCTGAGGATCACTGATATAAAGAATAGACCCGTGGGTCTGAGTGACCACCCGCATTAGACCATGGCCTGTGCTCATCCATCTCTCCAGGTAGATAAATCAGTGTTACTATTCAACTTGTTTGACCTTGACAAGGATTGGGAGCCATCAGCATAGAGTGTGTTTGTCCGAAGACTTCAGGAAGTGTTTTTCATCCTGTATGCATTCCAAAGCGTATTCGTGTGACCAAGCTGCAGTTTTCCTTTTTACCCATGTGAATTCAGTGTCTGTTCCACAAACATGTATTGATTGGCTGATACGCTGTGGGATCTGAGGTAGGCTGGGAAGAACACATGCTGTGCTCCTCCAGGGGTGCGCCATGTGGTTGGATGGTTAGAATACCCTACTTGGTGCTGTTTAAATCTTTATTGAGACCAAAGTAACCTCTATGTAAAGTGAACAGAGAGTTACCTAGATTTTATCTTCTCAGGTAAGCATTTCTGTAGAGTCTCAGTTGTCCAGTTTCATTGGCACTGTGCAAATTGGAAGGGCCAAAAGAAACCACTGTTTCTGGAAATGCTGATTTACCATATATGGAAGACTTCTGGGACACCCCTACCTTTCTGGACACTTATCTATATCACACACACTGTTACGACCAGTAGCTAGAGGTGGAATTCCAGAATCACAGTAAATTTCATGATCCCTGTGAAGTCACTATGCTGAATGTACACTAAAATTTAGACAGTAAAAGATAGGACCCCAGGGCCTCCCTGGTGGCATAGGGGTTAAGTCTCAGCACTCTCACTGTTAAGGCCTGAGTTCAATCCCCTGCCAGGGATCTACCCACATATGGCACAGGAGACCTCTCCCGTCTTGCCCGCTGCTCCCCTTAGCAGTGCATTTCAGTAGATCTGCCTGTTTTGCTCCCTCTCTCTCTCTGGTGAATCCTCTCACCCCCTATACCTCTGGCCTATGCCCCATTTCTTCTATGCATAAATAAATAAAAATAAATCTTTTAAAAAATACAGGACCCCAGATTAACTCTGGTCTAATTTTCCACAAATATTTCTCACTCTGGGCGATGTGTTCCTGCAGGTATTTATATCTGCCATAGGTATATTCACTCCCACCTAATTTGGCCAGCTGGCTGATCAGATTTTCCATGTCTGTCATTTCAACATGTTCATTGGTTCTGGCAAACTTTTCGCTTTCCTTTTTGGAAATGAGTTATCCTGCCGTGATACAGATGTGTTACAAGTTTTTACTTAAACAGTAAAGAAGTATTTATTAAGAGATAGCCTTTCCAATATGATGAGACACCTTGCATACCTTATTTCAGGTACTCCTCAAACTATTTCATATTTAAGGAAGCCAGTTAATGTTAGCTTTTCCTGGAGCACAGCCAAGGTTCAAACCCTGGCTGAGTTTGGGTTTGAATCCTGGCTTTGTGCCTTTCCTACACTTTACTTCTGCATAAATGTTTCACAGCCTCCCCCAAATGCAGGTGATGGAATTCATTTTACTATGTTGGTCTCAGTATGCATTGAAAAAAGGTTTCTGTAACCATTCTTTATCATGTTGAATCAAAATTCAGACATATTGCTAAGTAGGGGAGTTATTTGTCAAATGTTGGCAAATTAAAGATAGAGACCTTTAAGTTGCTAATGGGAGGCCCTGGCTAGAAGCAGATATAGAAAGACCCTATGAGTGGGAAATTAGTAATAAAATCCCTTAGGGTTGCCAGGACTTCCCAGATGTTGACTAGAAACATGGATCAGTACTTTTATTTTTAATGCATGGAGCTGGATTGTTATTAAAGGACAGTCAACCACAAAGTCACCTTAGAGGCTCTGTTCTCAGGCTATATTCTTGTCAGATATAATCACACTTAAATCAGTGTGAAGTTTCAGGTCACTGAGACTTCAGAAGTGTTAAATAATCCACTCAATAATTACAGCACTCATCTCTCTGTATTCCCTTCCTTACCTCCTATTTTGTGTAAGGGACCAACGGGCTTACATTTCATAAACTTCTTCAGTCTAGAAATATTAATCTTTGCTAATTTCCAAATTGATTTGTAATCTCAAACATACAAAACACCCACCATTGCCACCAAAAAGCAAGCAAGTAAACAACCACCACAAAAACTAATTGCAACAAGCTCACAAGGGTTCAAGAACTCACCACCCCTGTTTACAGACAGTCCACACCTCTGCTTCCTCACCTACCATGTTCTGCTGGCACCTGAATTTTAGTATTTTTGTGGTTGATCCACATCCTTTAGGACAGACGGCAGCAAACAACAACCTGTGGGCTGAGTCTGGTCCACCACCTGTTTTTGTATGATGTCAAAGCAAAAAAGTGTTTTCACATTTTTAGTATAAAATCAAAAATGTACAGTGGTTTTGTGTTTGCTCTTGATATTTCCTAGAAAATTTGCTATTGTGCCCATTATGGAAACAGGTCACTGCCCCTTGCCCTAGAACAGCCTCCAGAAGCTGATGCCACACAGCTTGCCATCTTGGCTGCTGCTCAGTATTTCTGGTGAAGATGGGTGAAGACCAAGACTGAACCAAGGGCTTTTCTTCTCCCAGTTTGGATTTCCATTATGTACCTCACTTTCTCCTTTTCAGAAAATAATCCAATTTGAATGGGTCCCAGCTGTGTTCATGGTTCAACTCTCTGATATTTATGTTAACTTCATCAAACATCTGCTGAGGGAAAACTTTGCTTACTTAGTCATTTCATTGTAAAGGTCTCTGCAGATCTCCAGGGCAGGCTTGCCTGTTGCCTCCTTGTGCTACACAAATGACTCTGATGAAGAGGATGGGTTCACGGTCGTGGAGCATCAGCTCTGTGCAGAATTGAGTGCTAAGATGGGGGGGTGCCAGGGACATGCCTTTGCCCTTAAACTATATGGTCTGATGGGGACACATGGAAATAACCAACTAGCATTGACCAGGAGACCATTGCCTGGACCAGAATGAATAAAGAGATATTACAAGTTTCATCATGTGGCCTTAAAATCAAGTAATTCTGCTTCATGGATTTATGAAGGTTTTTTATTAAGGATTTTTTAATGATCTTTTCTTGAAGAGTCATATACATTTAAAGCAGAGGGCCTCCCTGGTGGCGCAAGGGGTTAAGCAACGCACGATGAAGCAATCCACAGCCTCTGTAGCATGAGTTCGATCCCCGGCCAGCCAGGGAGCAACCCACATGGTGAGGCAGACCTCTCCTGTCTTGCCTGCTGCTCCCCTCAGCAGTGTATTTCAGTCTGCCTGTTGGGCTCCCCACTCTGTCTCTGGTGGATCCTCTCACCCCCTGCATCTCTGGCTTGTACCCCAGCTCTTGTATGCATAAATAAATAAATCTCTTAAAAAAATAAAGCAGAAAAAATGTAAACACTTTGAAAGTAAAATAGGGAAATTTTAATAACATCGATAATGTTATTACCTAGGGATGCAAATATTATTAGTGTGTTGGTGTTTTTCCTGCCTTTTTCTTGGTATAGATTAATATGTGTTTTTTAAAGATTTATTTAAAAAGAGAGACAGAGAGTGGGGAACAGAACAGGCAGACTGACTGAAATAACACTGCTGAGGGGAGCATCGAGCAAATCAGGAGAGGTCTGCTGTGCCGTGTGCATATCTCCCTGGCCGGGGATTGAACTCATGGTGCAGTGGCTTTGGACAGCGTCATAGGCTGCGCCTTAACCCCTTGTGCCACCAGGGCGGCCCTTAAGATCATAATGTATGTGCTCATTCTCATAGCTTTCACCTATTCTAGCTTTCAGCCCTTTACTCTTCTGTAATATAATTTTTATGATACCTTGTTGGCACATATATACTGTAGGAGACTATAATTCAT